GCATGAGAGAATTGGGAATAGAGAGGCGAAACTACGACTGAAGTGGCAAACAGGATGAGGCGTTCCCTAAAAATGGATCAGCAGGCTTGTAGTGTTGTAAATGAATAGTGAGTTGCAAAGCCGATTATTTCAGCAGGAAGTACAATCAAATTTTTTAAAATTTATTGTCCTTTGTTACAGAAAGCAATGTGAACTTGTCAGATTGCCTCATTTGTTAAAAGCCTACCTTCTCAGAGCATAAAGGGGGAACATTACCTTTTTCAACACAAGCAGGATCAGAAGAGGATTTGTAGTCAATGATCATCTCCACAACCTGGTTGTACGTCTGGTTCCTGAGTGCCTCTATTAAATCGCGATCCTGTGGGTCCGCCACCCAGCCATGATAGAGAGGAATACGGAAGAGATCGAAAATGGTCAGCGCTGGTGTGTACTCGAAATCAGATACCCTAAAAGAAGGGAAAGAGGATCAGTTAGCACCATAGATCCATACTTTTATCAGCATTCATTAAGCAATTAGTAGAGTGGTCGCAACGAGTGAATCCATTAGAAAGCATGCATTGCACCAAGCCTACCAAATTTAACTCCTTTTGTGGTGGCCTATGGTAGGGTGTTAACAGTAAAAGTTGATTTCATTTCTAATCATGATACGGTGGCGGAAACAGGGAAGGCAAAACTCAAAGTAAGACATGGTATGTATGGACGGTCAGATGTGATTCCCTGTGATTTGTTTATCACAATGTTGGTACATCCCACACTAACCGTTCAACTAAACTCTTTGTGTTTTCAAATACTAGCAAAAAATTTAGTTGCAGACTGTTGAACCTTAAACACCCCTAAGTAAGATTGACGCCAGGTTGGATTCCGGCTCCAAATGTTGCTGAGGGAACCCATCCGAAAAATTACCAATCCAATTTCAAATTCATGAGAACTGACTCGTAGAGAGAGGAGACCAGGGTTGAATGGACTGAAACTGATCGCGAAAGAAGTGGCTACAAAAATTGCTTACAAATGTCAGCTAATGAGCACGACCTGGAGAGTTGATAGCACACCATTTTACCAGAAGGGTAGTTCAAATAGATGGCACAACACAACCGGAATCATAATGAGATAACCTCAAACACGAGGTCACTATCCCGCTGTGCACACATTCACATGACCTTGTAC